AGTGGCGATTAAATGCGTTAGGCCGAGTTTAGAATCCGTAGGCCGAGTTTGGCGTCAAGAAGCAGTGTTAGATTTTTTACAATATCTCAACGATTGATTTCTCTTTATCAAATCTTACGGTACTTACGGAAAGGTAAATAAATTTGGAAGCCTTCAGTGATAATAATATTCCGTTTGGTGCTAAACTGCGCTAGATTAAGAAGGACTAAGAGCGGGTTGTGCTTAATAGGCCGGAAATGGGGTAGTTAACCCTACTGGTATGTTGTCAGATGCTGAAAATTTTCCTCAAATTCTCAGTACAGATTTATGCCGTATAATTTAGCATGAATCGGGATTTCGTGATCAAGACTAACACCAAAGTCTCCAATATATTTTGACCATGCAAGTGCCTACTAAAGTCAAAGATTTTCAAGGACAAACCGGGAAATAATATGTTTCTTCTTGGCTCAAAAAAAAGAAGAGATTCTGGACCTGGAACATTTTTATAACTCTTGGACTGGACTTGATTTTCAGGATTCTGAAACATTATTAAGAGAATTTTGATGAGCATTCTAAAGAACTTTGAGAACGATAGCATCAAAATAATTTAGATAAGAATTCCTCTCCGGTAATCTTGGAATAGGTAATTTTGAGACAAGAGTTTTGAGTAGATTTTTTAAAAGAAGTTCTGAAGAGAAATTCATAATGATTTTGAGGAAGATTCCAGGACCAATTTTAACGGGTATTTCAATAAGTTGTGCGATGTAATTTATAGAAGTTATGATGGGAGTGCTTTGGAAATTCCGAGAAAACTCCAAGGATTTTGAATTCTTAAGATAGTTTTAAATGAACAAGGAAATCGAATTCTTATGATACATTTTCAAAGAGAATCTTAAAAAAAAATCATGTTATATAAATTTCTTAGGTTTTTTTTTTTTGGGAATAACATGGGATTCCTAAGAAGAATCCCAAGTGAATTGGGCTCTTTAAGAGTATTGAGGTAAATGCATATTCGTAATCTGCATTAAAAATGGAACTCAAACCCAAAATTTCATCAATTTTGGTACACAGGAACTATTTTAAATAAGAACGATTACATTTGCAAAAATCACCTTATTAGAAACCGGTGGAAACTAACGATTTTAAATTGGCTCATTACTTGACTAGCCGATTCGTCCCAAGTACATCTATAAGCGTACCCCATTCTAGTGGAAATTCTAGTACTACAGTATGTTTGTTTTGATTCGCTATGAAAGTTTGACACATAAAATGAGGGGTTCGTGGATTTTCCTATGTTTCGAGGGGTGCATCGATTAGCTTGGGACCGAAGATAGTACCAGAGCTGAGCCAAAAAGTTGAGCACGTTTCTTCGGAACCTTCTGGTCTTAGAGTTACCTCTATGTTATTAGCGCCCCTCGGTGTCACTTTGTATGGGAGCGAGCTGTGAGTTTATCAGTTTAGTGTCAAACAATGAAGTTATTATTTTGCTTTAAATCATGATTTAAAAATCGAGATGAAAGTGTATGAGTTCGAAAAACAAACATCACTGTGCTCAGAAATCGAAGCTCTTTCATATAATATATAAAAACAGATATATTTTTCAAATTGAAAGAACCCAATTTCCGGAAGATCTCAGAGGAGAATTCCTTGTTAATTTTTAACACAATTTCAAGAAACACTGAGGTGAATTTCTTGGGGATCTAAGGAGAAATTTTTAATTTAATTATGCAATGTAAATTTAGTGAATTATTGGTACAATCATTAAAAAATTCAATTCGAATCTTAGGGAGCATTCAAATATTTTTTAAAGTGTTCAGAAGATAATTTCTGGTCTATTACAAAAAGAAAATAGAGGAAACACTAGAGAGAATTTCAATTTTATTCTAGCAGCATTCTGAAGAGCACTCTATTTTTGTTGTTAGGGAATTTTTGAGAACATTGCAAAGAAATTCTTTTAAGAAATCTCAACGTGATTTGTTATAAGCTTTTATTAACAGCATTGGTAGCTATTCGTAGCCCATGGTTTTTAAGAAATAGGCAAATTTTGAAGATGTCCGACTCAGAAACAAATTCAAGATCTAGGAAAAATGCTACTGTCGTTCAACCTACACAGCAAAAAAAAATGTTATATCGATCAATGTAATTCAAGCTGATGTATGAAATAATGATGTAATAGCAAAAAGCAGATACAATGTTACATCAATGGATTGTTCGCAAAATCGATGTACATCGTACAATGTTATATTACACAACCGATGGATTGACCTGGTTGCAGCACTTTGGATGTAATATTCAACAAAATTGTTTTCTGTGTAGTGATTCCTCCGCAATCAATTTCGGTTGTATGCTTAATTGTCATGACGGGGTGTCGACTACATGAAAAAAAATATCACCCACATCCAGATGGCCAGTCACTTTCGAATGTATGGGAATGGTGAGAAACCATTTGGAAATGCATGAAAATTTGCAGTTTTTATTCATTATCGTCTTTATGGGCAGTTTTAGATGCACAAAAATTGCACGAGTACACAGCAAAAAAATAATTTTGATATCACGTCAAAGTGGATGCACTACAATCATGTCGAAAATATGGTGTAATATTACTTGCTAAAAAAGGACAAAATTATCATTAATACGATGCATGAACTGACATTACGCTGCTTTTACTGCATTTGTTTATTTATGTGGTCATAAAAATTACATGAAATTTTTCGACATGATTGTAGTGCATCCACTTTGATGTGATATCAAAATTATTTTTTTGCTGTGTACTTACTATGGTGATAAGGTAAACACTCGTTTATTTGTTTCCTTCTGTGAAAGCATGTTAAGTCACAAATCGTGGGTTTTCTGATATTCTCCATACTGCAAAAATGATTTTCCTACCACTGAAGGGGCGACATCTCTCGGATCTTTAGTATAGCTACTACTCAAATCATATAATTAATTACCTGGAATCCTTGAAATTCAGGGAATCTGAGGAATTATAAATTAAGGGAAATATTTCTTGATACTTATTCATAACTGAATAACAAACTATAATTATTTCACCTATCATGTAGGAAAGTGAATCAATGATATTTTTAGAAGGCGTAGACTTGATCAATTTCCTAGATTTCCAGGGAAAAGGTCTAGGACTTGACTTTTTTTATATCCATGACATTTTGTGACGTTTTTCAGTTTCAATGTTTCGTATTTGGAAAATTTTGATTTAAATCCAGGGCTTGAAAAATAAAAAGATTCGGGATCATTTGAGTTTTGACGAATTCCGGAATTTTTTTTTTAAATATTTTAATATTATTTTCATGGTTTCGTACTTATGAAACTATAAAACAAATCATTCAATGTTATTTAAGACCCTAGCCTTGGAATAAAAACCAAGGCTGCGCATTATTTGAAGTTTTTCGGATATAAGACTTGGAAACAGCTTTATTGAGATCTTGGAATATGGAAAACATATTCTTGGTGCAGAGTAAAACAAACTTTAAAATCATTAAATTTAAATCATTGGATTAAAAAAAAAACGGGCTTTGAAATATTGAAAAGGTGTCGACTACTTGGAAAAACCTACGAAATCAGGCAATTTCAGGGAAATCAATTTTTCATCTGGAATCATAAGGAATCTCAGGGAATTTGCATATAATTCAGGGAAATATTTCTCAAACGCTATGAAATTCATCGAATACTCCAAAACCAGTGGACGCATTTATGGTTGACCCATCTGTGAAAAATTTCTTCCCGTGACTGATGTGGCGGTACTTGATGGCAAAACTACAGATAAACAGACATAACACATTAATATATTTATCACATTAAAACATCGTCGCTAAAACATTACCGCCATCTGTTGAATACACTGTGCTGGGTAGTACGCTGAATAGATGGCGGTAGTGTGTAAACGTCAAACGCAAGGCAATAAATTATGCGCGCCACAGGTGGCAGTACTACCAACTACGATACTTTTAAATTGAGCGTTAAATGCTTGTTCGATGAACAACTTGCGAGTGTTATGTCTGTTTGTCTCTGGCAAAACCATCGAACGATGAGGGTCGACTGAGTAACCCTTCATGTTTGCAATTTTGAGTTGAATTCGACTCAATTATTGAGTTACTCTCATCGGTCGTGTTATTTTTTTCAGTTAACTTTCCACCTCTTGGAAAGTGGCACTCTACCCAGCCCGGTAATCTGAATTGAGTAGGGTTTTTGATCTAATTTCCGTCCTACTAAGCACAACCCGCACTTTCCCTCTCTTTTCTGAACGAGTTTAAACAAAAAAATGAATATTTCTGTCAAAGATGACTTGCAAATTTATTCACCTTTCCATACGTACCGTTGGATTTGATAAAGAGTCACAAATTGTTGAGATATTGTCTAAAATCTAACACTGCTTCTTGATTCTAAATTCGTTTTTCGAGTTTCAATTCCGTCCTAACGCATTGAAACGCCATTAGATTTTCTTCGTCCTTCGGATAAACGTAGAAAAATGGGATTCGCTAGGAGCGCTTCTTTTGTTTTGAGAACAATGAGCGTAAATATTCATATAATGCGCTCTAACAGGATTTATGTTGTAGCTAATGAACTAACGCATCGGAACAATCCTATTATTGATTTGTGCACGGTGAAATCATTGATATTATTGATCTTTTCTGACCAATAGAACGGAAATGGGTGATTACGACGAAGTAGCGCTCTACCCTATTTGGAGATCCTTATTTCTTTTTCCTATTTCTTTTATTTCATTTAGTCGGAAGTGTATATATCGACCGATGTATCGACGATTGACGAATTCTGCGCCATCTGATAGAGGAGGCATAAAGCTTTCGTTCAATTTTAGCATTGACACGAACCTTGTGTCCGTCGTACATTGAGCCGCCGTCGCCATTTTGCTCGGCGGCTTAAAAGCTTGAACTGTCAAAATTTCTTGAGTGTGTGCCTGGTTATTTACTTTTTTCCACCCCTTTCGCGATTCTCGTGTGATTAGTCAGCTGTGAGACTTTTCCCTTCTTTCAGTCGTGCTTTGTTTTTGGTGCTGCAGCAATCGCACCAGTGCAACTTTACTGCATTCCATATTATCCCATCATAAACATAATTGCACTGTGTTCTTACTCATCCTGCCTGCCCTCAGCGCGCTGTCGTCCATCATTTATTTATCAGTTCTTATCGTCACCATCGTCCAGTTGACCTAGACAGTGTTTTGCGATTGCTGCTGCGTTCGCAGTTTTTGTTCGTCATTATCAGTGATGCTTTTGTTGATAAGTGCTTAGAAGAAAGCGACGTGGTCCGTCCTGGGAGGAGTGATAGTGGAACAATAATATCATTCGCGTGCATGTTTTGCGAGGAAGTAGTGCGCTAAGTGCGATGGATTACGCAACGAGCACTACCCGCAGGCCGCTGCTTCAAGAGGAAGAGGAAGACGATAGTGAAGCGACTTTCGTGGACGAAAGTATCTACGCGGGATCGATCAACACTGGATCGATAAATAACATTCCAACGACGGCAACCGTGGGAACCCGTAGCGGGACACGGAACCGTCGCCTGGAGGATGGCAATCTCCGGATAGCACCGGTCGACAGGTACAATTTTACCTATGCAGTATTCTATCTACTTGGGATGACGACCCTACTGCCGTGGAACTTTTTCGTCACCGCTGAAGAAGTATGTCTCTGTGTTTGCATATCATGATCGCTGGTGTGTCTCATTATTTATTTTCCACTTTCAGTACTGGCACTACAAATTTCGTAACATATCGAGCAACGACACGAGTGTGCTGACGCCTCGCCAGCTGGAATTCCAGTCTGATCTCAGCATAGCGGCCTCAGTGCCAAGTACATTGTTCCTCTTGTTGAATGCAGGCTTCGGGCACTACATTTCACTGCGGATACGAATGGCCGGATCCCTAGTTATGATGTTTTTGATTTTCATTGGAACGACGGCTCTGGCGCAAGTCGACACCGACCAGTGGCAGGATGCATTCTTTCTTATCACCCTTACATCGGTCGTTGTTGTCAATGGTAAGTGAAGCACAAAGAGAACTACTTGCAGTTCTCTATTCACTATCACAAAGAGAGGTGTCATAATTCTAACCAATGGCGATTAATTAGTGTTATTGTATATCAATCAACGCGAATAATATACACTTGCGTATATGATTCCCGTTGATTGATATACAATAACACTAATTAATCGCCTTTGGTTAGAATTATGACACCTCTCTTTGTGATTAAAATAAGTTATGCCATGATTACATGATTCGTATTTTTTAGCCTTCTCTGCCACCATGTCCGGTACCCTTTTCGGTATAGCGGGTCAATTCTCGTCCGACTACATGTCTGCCGTTGTAAGTGGCCAAGCGCTTGGTGGAATCTTCGCCGCGTCCGCCGCAATAATTGCCCTAACCTTCGGTGCCGCTCCAACCATTACGGCGTTTGTTTTCTTCATCGTTGGAACACTGGTGCTGCTCTGCTCTCTAATCCTGTACGTTGTGATGTCAAAAACTCTCTTCTTCAAGTACTACACCTCGCCTCGAACTTTGATGAAAAGCTCACTTGATGTGGATGAGGTGACTCGAGAACTCCTTCCACGGCAAGACCCCACATTCCTCGGAGTGCTTCGAAAAATTTGGCTGTTTGGATTTTCCGAGTGGCTGGTCTTCGTAACCACGTTGTCGATTTATCCGGCAGTTACGATACTGGTAGGATCACAATCTCAAGGTCATGCTTGGAACGATGTGTACTTCTTACCTGTCATCAACTATCTCCTATTCAATACGGGAGACTACATCGGTAGGGTTTGTGCCGGGTCATTAGAATGGGTAAGTCTCACATAAATTCTCTCCCCTACTACAACAGTTTCTAATCATTTTCAACCCCCTCACACAGCTCTCAACTAGCCCATTCCTGCTGAGCGTCGCAACCATCAGTCGAATAGCATTCGTTCCGGTCATGCTACTGTGCAATATTCGGCCACACCACAGCTTTCCGGTAATGATCCATTCGGACTACATCTTCATCGCTCTGATGGCCGGTTTCTCTCTGTCTAATGGATACATTGCCAACATCGCTCTGATCGGAGCACCGAAACTAGTCGACCAAGCGGAAAAAGAGATGGCCTCCTCGATGATGGCTGCCTTCCTGGGAGTGGGACTGGCATGCGGATCCACAATCAGTTTCATGATCATTGAAATGATCAAGTGAGTCCGCAACATTTCGAAACAGAGCTTTTACTTTACAGAGCAGTAGGACGCGATTCGAGGGTAAGTCCAAACACTGACAGATCTGCGATATTCGTGTTAAGATGTATTGTTACCCTGTGGGAAAGAATCTTCTGACCAAACAAACACTTAATTTTTAGATAGGAAATGTAGCTGATACTTTGTATGATATTATATGCCAGGAAAGGTTAATGTTTTAATGATAGAATTATTATCATATTTATTATAGTAGCGAAGTCAATCAGACGACACTGTCTACAAGTATATGCATCATAATTTACAATAGCAATATATGTCCGTGACAAGAAGTAACTTTGTTTCAGTGCATATCACATGTCCTGACCTTGACAGTTTTGCAAGCATAACCCTGTAGGAAAATCCACATCCAATCGAATGGTGCTGTAAGTTTACTCATTTGTGTGTCATACTAACAGCTGATAACGACTTTTGCATCGCATAAGAAGGATTGCATCATCCAGTCAGTTGCAGAGATGCAATGGCCCTGCGATGCGTTGTGAAGGGTATAGTAATATAATGTACAAACAAAACGCACGGTAAATTGGGTTTGAAGAGCAACGCTTGAAATGGGTCTTGTTTGACAAGCAAGCAGTGAGGCGTCCATAAGGCTGATATTGAACTAGACAGGCAGTTTAGCGATTTGTGATACGATTGCGGCGTAGAAGGAGCAGAGTTGAAACAATACACTAGATTAAAGGACAATCCGCTCTGTGTGGAAACACGATGATTTGATAATTTTGGTAAGCTCAATGGGAAAACCAATGGCAATGATTTTATGGAGTATGACCTCCAACCAGTCCTGCCAAACAGAATCGTACACCAGAATCTCGACATCCAAAAGCAGCATTTTCGAAGATTTTTGGAAGCGAATCCTGATTTGGTTCACCCACAGTCTTGTTTTCGTTCGAACTGTATTTTCCATACAACATTATTTTTTTGTATGGAAAATACGGTGTGAAAGAAATCAAGAATATGGGTGAATCGCTCTGAACCAATTGGAGATTCGTAGAATTACTCGCTTAAAACAAAATTGTTGATCTAGAATCACGTGTGCTACCTCAAGGATCCATTCCATACATATTAGGACAACACGGTCCAACAGCTTGCTAAGGGTTGGAAGCAAGGTCGATAATAAGCTGGATTTGCTTTTCCAGTTTTTGGGACAGGGATAATAACAGCATGCTTCCAGACATTAGACATTAGCAGATAAGTATGTGTAAATGGGTAAAATGCCCATGGCGGTCTAAATGCGCCCCTTATATCTAAGTGATTAGTTGTTAAGGCGGCAATCATGTGTTATATTTTAAACGTATAATATTAGTTGTTAGTGGAATCAAAGAGCATTAAAAATTTATTAAATTGGAAAACAAAGGCGGCATAAAACTACGCTAGAAAAGTAATTTACCGAAACGGCTGATATCTACGAACACTACCAAATGAGTGAATAAATTGATGCAAATTGTCAGGTAAGCCCGTCATCTTGATGCTTGAAATCTCAATGGGGTTTATTGGAAAAATAGTAGTCATCACAGCTTTGCAGTGCGAAAAGCATAACCGTCAGGCGTACACCATAATAGTAAAAAGCTTAGATAGAGCCTAAATGTGCGTTTGCCAAATTATTTAATTTCAATGTAATTTCATGAAAATTTGTTGTCAGCATGAATGAATCTTGTACAAAATGCATAAAACTATTTTGTAATGCATTGTTCTTAAATAAAAAACTACTTCAAGACTTATGAATCACTGAAAACATGTTAAGGTTTGAAATCATCTGCCGATTAAACACAGACAAAGTTGACCGACTAAATCAATCGACGAAAAACTATTAAATAGGCCGATTGCTCGATGTAGCACCAGACGAAAAACGATTTAATGTGCTGATTAATACACCGACTGAAATTAATTTTTAAGTGGCAATGGATTTAGTCGATGGACGCATCGGGTGATTTGGATGATGTTTGTTTATTTGGAAGATATTTTCGAAACAAAGCACGATAAAATTCAGCATTATATACCATTATTACGAGTACTAATTTTTTGCTCGGATCATGTTTTGACTTCCACAGAAACTCGCTAGAATGAATAGAAAATAATAGTTTTTTGAAGGAAATTTAAAAAATGTATTCAGTTTGACATATTATTTCGGACTTATCACCGCTGCGATTGCAGCGTCACGGTGGTCGATTGAAACATGGATTTGTCAATTGGCAAACAAATCTCGATTATCGCGCTAAGGGGTGATGCATATATTATGTCACGCAAGAGGGAAGGCGAGGGAGAGGGGTATATGGTTTTGTGACAAGCAATGTTTAAGGTATAGGAAAAACGTAACGAAAGGAGGGAGGGGACATAATAAATGGACCGCCCCTAATATGAAACCGTCGATTTGATTTGGTTGCATCGAGGGTTGCATATTGTGGATTTTCTTTTTTCAAATATCTAAATTCGATTTCCACTAATTCAATAGTAAAGTATACCAAGCAGTAGGAATTACTGCAATTACTCATAAATTACCCACAATTATTTTCATTACATTCAATTAATAATTATGTAATTTTTCGACGAGCTCTTTAATTTAAAAAAAAAATCGGTTTCTATACATTAACTGAAAGGGCTTCGTTTTCTGAGAACAATGCTGGGGGCAAGACAGCTATACTCAGAGTAAATATATTTGCAGCGAGTAAATTTGAGTTACTCATATTTACTCAAAAATGATCAAAGTAGTCTCAAATTTCTGATCAAAGAAAATATCGCCTGACAGCATATTTCGTTTTAAGCATCTGTTCGTCCATTTGACAGATCGAATCGTTCGTTTAACAAATTGTGGACAAACGAAATGGTCCTGTGGTGGTTTGACTGCATGACGGTTTTACGGGGCTTGTCGTTCGTGTGTGGCTTGGATGCCTTTCAGTGAAGTTTGACTCATTAACATGGATGAGAGGATGTATTTAATGGTGAAAAATATCGTAGGATTTTTCAAAAAGAAGAAGTAGACAAATTATTTACCCTTTGTGGAACCTTAACATTAATAATCATGCCATGGCCAACAACCAAAAACAGTACCGTACCGTTTTTGGAAACACGGAGGATATGTTTATTTCCTCAATGTTGTGCCCAGAACACAACATTTCATGAAATATCAAGCGTCTAATCCCTAAAGAATGATCGAGTAATGTTATAAATCGAATAAAGCTTTCGGTGAATTTACAAAAATCATATGTTACCAATAATAGGAAGGCACTGTATTCTTATCTTTTTGAAAAGCGTGCAGACTTTATGTACTCTATTATTTTTATATATATGTGTAAATTACGTTTTCATTGAGTTCCTGGAAGTTAAAAAAATATAAACGTGAACTATATTGCTCTAAGAATTGAATTTATTGAATTAATTTAGCCTAATCCGAACCTATCGAACCACCCCAAAAGTCCCCACACAGAAATTCCAAGAAAGCACGTCAACTAACTTTGCTTGACAGCATCGGTTTCAACGTAATTTTCAATATAACAATCAGGTAGCTATGTGTTATAAGATATTGAGCAACGTGAATTACTCAGAGTTACTCAAAATTAACTCCGGTTTTACTCATGATCGAAAGCTGTCTTGCCCCAAGGAACAATGATATTTTTTTCGATCCCATTTACATCCATCTCGATTTTTAAATCAAGGTTTAAAGCAAAATAATCACTTCACTGTTTGACACAAAACTAATAAATTGACAGCTCACTCCCATACAAACTAGCACCGAGGGGCGCTAAGGTGGTGATTTTTGCTAATGTAATCACACTTATTTAAAATAGTTCCAGTGCTCCAAAATCGATGAAATTTTGGATTTCGGTTCCATTTGTGATGCAGATTACGAATATGCAATTACCTCAATACCCCTAAAGAACCCAATTATCACCTTACACGGTAACCGCAAAATACCCAATAATGACTACAAAGTAAGCATGTTCGAGGGAAACTGGGACTACCCATTAAATGAGTATAAATAAGTAGTAAGTATTCATTTTTGAGCAACAAATATTCATAAATGGGTAATATTTTTACTCATTTAATGGGTAGTCCCAGTCTCCCTCGAAAATGTTACTTTGTAGTCATTATTGGGTATTTTGCGGTTACCGTGTACAAGCTTGGTAGAAACAGGTAGAAACCCCTCGCTCAGTGTTGTCAAAATCACTTGTGCACTCATAAATATTACTAAACAAAGAATTATTAAAATGTAATCATTTTATGGTTAGGTGATATTTATAGATTGGTCCGAATAAAATTCACTTTAAAATTATACTATTTTCGAATAACGATGAGATATTTGTTCAGTGTATACCTCTGACTTAAACTTTAACGGACTATTTTGTTTCCAAAAATTATATTTTCGTCTAAGTGAGTAAACAAATTAACATATTGAGAAGATCGTGTGAATTACTTCGAAAACATAAATATAATGAAAACTAGTTTATCGGAACCGGTAGAACAAATCGGTGGAAGTCGAATTCGAAGCTATGGATGATGAAAGCTGCGTAGCAAATTGGTACTCCATCCGAACCATTTTAATCGGACCGATTGTACCCGTTTACATCAATCCCTCTACTACCCTGGTTGGTATCCAGTGACGTTTATATAAGGTCTGGGCCAAAGGGCTTATTGGTGTTAGTGAAATGTGCAAATGGTTAGTGGTGTTCGTATTATATTGCAATGTTTATCTTTTTACACGAAACAGCTGTTGGCAGTGACGTATATCTATCTGCTCGCAGATGTTCAGCAATGTTTACAATATTTTTGCTTCTAACCAGCGTTGCCAGTATTCCAGATTTATCTGGATTTTCCAGATTTTTAGTCGTCTTGCCAGATACACAGACAGACCACGCATGTTTCCAGATTTTTTAAATATGTTCCAGATTTTCCCAGATTTTTTAACATGATGCTTTAAAAATATCACTGTAAATGATTTACCCTCTAATAAAAAAAATCTAACGACTAACTTGCTACGTTAATCAAAGATGAATACTAAGATGAAACCAAAGATGAATACTAAGATGAAACTGTCGGAAGAAAAACTTTCTATTTTAGTGTCTTCTTTCACGGTCCCTTTCATCCAATGAGAACCCCCCGTATTCAAGGTAATTTTGTGGTTGTGCTGCCCCCTCAGAAGAGATGAAATTTTGCGCTCATTTTTATCAAAACAATCACACCAAAGTCAGAGATGTCCCATTTTTTAATTACTCGATTAACAACTAATCGATTATTTTTTGTTCGCTGTGCTGCCATTTTTATACCAATGAGAGTGCAG